GTTCTAAGTGTGGCTCCCGACTGAACCCAAGCTGTCTCATCTGCAAGGTTGACCTCAATGTACCGGAGATTGATCAAGTCAATGATGATAAATGGGGTTTTGCAGAGGTAAGATAGGCCTTCATAATCATGTCGTCCACTTTTAACCCTGACTTGCAAGCCAAGTTTCTTGCTGCAAAGAACAGCTGCTTGGATTTCAGACTCATGGAAAGATGTGACAAGGAGAAGAGGCTTGGAGTTTAACCATCTGGGGTTTTGTTGGGAAGATTGCAAAAGATGAATACAAGAAGAGTTTGAGGTGTGAATGTTTTGATCAGAAATTTGGTGTAGTAACTGGATTTTTCTGTCATGCACTGACTGAAAATTTCACTACTGATGGAAACCGAAATTGCAAATGGAACTGAGACCAAAAACAAAGAAGCTAATAGTTTAATGAACTCCATCTCTTTGAGGAATTTAGGCCTTCAGATTCTCATGATACTGGTTTGGCTGCATATATATATTGAATGGTCCATTTTCTTGGTGGGGATGAAATATTTAACTTAACTAGCAAGCTATAGTAGATATGCTGAATTCGGCTTTTTCTACTCATCTGGTGCGTATTTATAGGAACAAAAGGAAACAAAGTGATGATTCCGATGGAGTGAATTGAGGGTCTACCATCTACCACATTAAAGCAAAAAATTTGCATATAATTCAATCGGCACTAGGCATTTGAAGTTAAACTCTTGCCGTTTTCTTGTTGAGATAGTAACCCACGCAAGTCATCTAACCTTACTTATTTTGTGCAAAATATCTGGCTATTTAAATATGGAGTCATTGACCCTAACATATGATACGATATTGAAATTTTTGTATGAAACTGTAATTTATAATTAAATTTTTTATAATCTGCAAAAATATCAAGCTGTAGTTTGCTGATATGTAAAAAAAAATTAAGCATATAGAGGCTAAGGATTGTCCTCATTTTTTGTCACTTAAGCACTAGTAGCAAGAGTCAACTGAATTCATTCTTATTAATGAAGTAGAAGACGTAGCCAATTCCACTTGGTGCAACATTGGCACAACATATGGGCTAATGCACGTGGGACTTTCCGTATGCTCTGAGTTCTGCATGGTTGCAATGTGTGGTCGAACTACATATTCCACCTGCCAACTTACAAAGCTCCATCTAGAACTAGATCTTCACATATACCTTTAATGCACCAACTGGCTCTTCGCTTTGAGGGCGAAAATGCCCGACTCGATCCTCCCGTTCTAGGCGTCTAGGATGGAAAGGGATCCTTTCCGATCAAATCCATTTAGTTTGGAATCCAGACCGTTGAATTTTGATCCAACGTTATAGTTATTAAAACTTTTAAGAGGTCCCCTGTTTATAACCGTTTGATTAAATTTTAACGATTCAGATTTCGAACTAGGTGAATTTGGTATAAAGGGATCCAGAGGAAATCCCTTTCCATCTAGGATCAACATGTGTTGAAAGGGTCATATCTGCTGACATCATCAAACGTGATGTGGCAGCTGATTTGCATGCCACATTACTTAATTAAATGTTTCAAGAACACACACCTAAAAGGGGCACTCGATACAAGGGGTTGATTGTTGTCCACATCACTGATCCACAGTTTTTTATGTTTCTCATTGTTCTTCTAAGTCGTCAACATCTTCGTGGAAGTACCACATAGGTTTTTAGATATAAGGAAGCTTCGCTGCGTTTGTAGTTTGAAGATGATTTATTACGATAATCGTCATGTATTATCGGAGAGTTTGAGACTCATTATTCCAGTCATTAAGAAAATTAGCCATTTTACTTGACATTATTAAGAGTTTCGTACAGGAAAGGCTTTTAACTACATCAGAGATCATAACATATAACTTAAGTTACGATTATAAGAGGTTGTTATGTCATCATTATTTTAATCCTATCATTAGGCTTTGCTAGGTCTGAGAACTGGCTTGGGCCTTATTAATGCCCTCTCGGCCCAATAAATCTGTTAAGTAACTCGAGAGTCAAAACAGGAATATCCGAAACGCAGGTCCACAAAAATAATTTTTTTTTTTTTTTTTATCAAACTGTAAATTTTGTTAGATTAGATGTTAGATTAGTTACATGCAGAATTTGAATCCACACGTCATACAAAAGCTCAACACATTTTCACCGCCACAAAAATACTTCCTTGGGTGGGCGAGTTTATCGAGACCACGCCTGACTCATTTTATGCGAGTGGGTGTGGGGTTTACTGGTGGTTACCCCAATAACGAAAACGTTTCTAAATTGAATTTCTTAGAATCGGAAATAACCAATCAAACTTAACCCCCTTAATTAAGCACACGTCATCCCAAGCTTGTGTTTTTATGAGACTTACTTGTCTTTATTAACAAACTTTTATTATCTGAACATCATAAGTGTAATATTCATTATGTTTATTATCATCTAAATATCATACCTGCAACAAATTATTGAATTTAGAGATCGTTTAGTTATCTGTGTGTGTTAATAAATCAATGGTTTTGGCAACAAGTATCATCCTCATGATAAACCTTCCACTCGTTTTATGCATATAAATAATTAAAGGATCTTCAAATTAATAATTTTTTTGCCTATATAACATTTAGATAATGAGAAAGAGATTGAACAATTCTGATTATGATGTTTAGACTGTAAATTAAGGTTCGTTATCATAAGGGTACACGCATTATGCTATTAGGAAACTTGTCAACTTGATTCTAAAATTCAACTCTTAAATTGGGCATTCGTATTTGATTATCAATAATACTAGCTTATCTGTTGAAAAAAAGAAAAAGAAAGATGGAGGGTCATATTAAAATTTGTCAATTTGATTCTAAAATCCAACAACTCTTAAATTGGTACAAAATTTTGCTCGCTCTTGAAGAAGTTTTCGTAATCAACCTCACCCTTTATCTTAGCTAATCGCTCAAAATTTCGTTTGAAATACTTTTCACCCCAAACCTTTGCTTCCTCCAAAGTTCCTTTGATATTTCTTCCAATGTCCAAATCCCTGTAGTTAATATATGCAGCCCTAGGGTTTTTAGTCACAAATGGAGCCATGAAGTTGTAAACCCTATTGATCCCCTCCAAATGCTTCTCAGCCAAAGCTCCGCCCTCAAATCACTTAGTGAAGTACTGAATGTTGTACAAGACTCCAGCTCTATGTGGAAACGGAGTAAAATCTTCTGGAATCTCAGCCATTTGTCCACCATACGGATCCCAAATCATTATAGCAGGAGCGTCACCATCTTGCATCACCTTCCATATGGCTTCTAAGTGCTTTTCTGAGATGGATTTTGTCACAAAATCACTTTTGGCTTTGAAGAAGCCCTTTTGGACATGGTTTCTGTCGAAATAAAGCTCTAATTGCTGTCCGGGATCCTCACCATTGATGTAGAAAATAGATTAAATCCAGCTTATTTCCTTGCAGTCCTCAGGTTTCAAACCCAACTCAGGAAAGCTCTTTTGCATCAAGGGGACTAGCTGATCAGTGGTGCCAAGAAACAAGGCATTGAAATTGGCCTGGATTGTTTTGCCACCTTGTGAACCTTTTCCCGTAAAAAGAATGACTCTTATGAACAGATCTTTATGAAACCTGGGAGCAATGGCTTGCCACTTGTGAACCAATTTGGTTGCGTTTTGTTCTAGGGTTCTGGGGATTGTGAAAACCGTGACCTTCGGAGGGACCGGAGCCAACTTGATCTTCCATTCAAGTACAACTCCAAGCTTGCAGCTCCACCTCCTCTAATGGCCCAAACTAAGTCCTCCCGGCCCCATCGATTGTCTGTCAACAACAGCTCCGTCTGCTGTGACCACGATTGCATCCACAGCATTATCACTTGAAAGCCCAAATTTCCTCATCAATACGCCCTGCCTCCGCCGGTGATATGTCCACCAACACCAATGGTAGGGCAAACACCAGCTGTGAAACCAAGTTTGCCTCTGCTTTCGTTGGCAACATGGTAGTTAAGCTCACCAAGTGTTGTACCGGATTGAACCCATGCAGTGCGTTTTTCTCTGTTGACTTTAACCTTATTAGACTTGACGAGATCGATGATGATGAAGGGTACATCTGCTTTGTAAGAGAGGGCCTCATAGTCGTGACCCCCGCTTCGAATCCTAACCTGCAGGCGATGTATTTTACGACAAATGATGGCAGCTTGCACGTGTTCGTATAGATACGGTGTGATGATGTATAGAAGCTTCTGATTCGTGGTGTTGAATCTAAGGTTTTGGATGGAGGACTCAAAGGCGGATGAAAATGAAGGGGAATGAGTATCGAGCAAAAATGTGCTTACGTTGGTTAAAGATTCTTTAGAATGGAAGCCAACGCAACTATCAAAATTTAATTCATGGATGAGGTTATATCTTGCAGAAGAAACTGAGAAGAAGAGAGAAACTACTGCAAATGTTAGAAGGTGAGGCATTTTTACTTCCCGCTCCAATATTGCTTCTGTTGGCTGCTTAATTTAAACTTTAATTTCTCTCTTAAAATCGGAAAAGAATTTTGTAACTGGAAACAAATTAAAGCACATTGAAACTGAAAGCTCAACAAATTTCCTTAATAATGATATCGGTTATAAATAAAGAATTGTGCTTTTGTGTTTATAGAATGTTTCGAGTACATTTTCTTGAAACACAATCAATGGTCAGCGTTGCTAAAGAAAAAAAATCAATGGTCAGTTAGCTAGTTGACCAAAGGAAAACTAAAAAAGAAGTATAACTTTTGTTACGACCCTTTGAATTAGTTGAAGTAAAAACCTTTGTGAGCTTGAGGGTGCCTATATTATGTTGAGAATTATTATCAAATTAGTTTATCAGTATAATTTGTAAATTTTTTTCACATAACTTAACTTGAGTGAAAGTGTTCGCACACTGCCTAACCATCAGTTTAACCCATGTTTACGGGCTAAGCCATTGAAAAGAACTATTATTTAAGTTATTTGCTAGAATAAACCCATTAATCCATAGTGCATATTAGTTACATTACCTTTTTTTTTTTTCTCTTCCAATTAGTTACATTACCTTTTTCTATAGTAGCTGAATGTTGAGACTAGAGACAAAAGAGACTTCTCTGAAATTTTTATTGTTGCACATAATTGGTTAAACAATAAGCTTAAAAAAGGCACACTAATCAAACCAATTAAATGCTTAATATACTGAAAAAATCAGTCTAGCTCCTAGCTCTAGTAATGGCCTCGAGTTCATGGAAGAGGCGGGATGCTCTGCTCATGCCGGAAGAAGTTATCAGGATCGACTTTGGTCTTAATTTTTACCAATCTGTTAAAGTTGCTCTTGAAATACCTGTAACCCCAAGAACTTGCTTCAATAAAGCTCGTGTTGCTCTTCTTGTTAGTCCCGAAATCAAGATCCCTATAATTCACATATGCCTGCCTTGGAAACATTGTGACGTAAGGACCCATGTAAATGTAAAGTTTCCTAATCCAATCCATGTGCTTTGACTCATTATCTCCAGCTTGCCATACAGTCGCGTATTGAATTTTAAAAAGAACTTTCCGATGGGGAAAAGGGATTGCGCTTTCAGAAATCTTGCTCATCATTCCCCCATATGGGTTCAAAATCATCAGTGGAGAGGGCTCTTCCAGCAACCTCTTCCATAGCCCCTTAAGTGCAATTTCTGGAATCGGATTCTTGACAAAGTCTGACTTGGCTTTGAAGTAGACCTTGGGTAGGGTAGCTTTTCCTTCAAGCAAAATCTCAGTAGGGGTTCCACTTGGGTACCCTGCTATATATAGCACCGATTCAATCCAACTTGTTTCAGTACAATCTTTTTTTGTCAAACCCAATTCAGGGAAGCTTTTTTGCATGACATTAAGTAATCTTTTAGAATCTCCAAGAAAGTGAGCTTGGTAAACAGCTTGTGACAGTTTTACTGCCGGTAATGGTATCATTGGATACTTGTATGAGAACTCTAATAAAGAGATCTTCATCAAGAAATGGAGCTACTTGTTGCCATCTATGGAGGAGCTTTGTGGCACCTTGTTCCAAGGTCTTGGCAACTGAAAAAACTGTCACATTTGCGGGAACTGAAACCAACTTTATCTTCCACCAAAGGATGATTCCAAAGCTTGCTCCTCCACCTCCTCTTATTGCCCAAAACAACTCCTCTCCCATTGCTTTTCGATCAAGAATTTGCCCATTAACGTCTATGATTCGTGCATCAATGGCGTTATCAGCACCAAGGCCATATTTTCTCATCATGGAACCATATGCACCTCCAGTTATATGCCCACCAATGCCTAGACTCGTGCAAAGTCCGGCAGGGTAGCCATGAGTTTGGCTTTTCTCTGCAATTCTGTAGTAGACTTCACCAATGGAGGCGCCGGCTTGAATCCATGCAGTGTTGGATTTGATATCAACATTGACCGATCGAAGCTTGGCAAGGTCTACAACAATGAAAGGTGTTTCAATTTGGGATACATAAGAGAGGCCTTCATAATCATGCCCTCCACTTCGGACCCTGAGATGTATTCGAAGCTTTTTCGAGCAAATAACAGCAGCTTGAACTTGCGAATCATGCAGTGGTGTGAAAATAAACTCTGGCTTTGGCACTGAATGGACCAAGTACCTGAGGTTTTGTGCCGAAGATTCAAGAACGGATGTGAAGCTAGAATTTTTCGGAGTGAAAAAGGTCGTAGAGAATGGAATATAAGTCTTAGATTTATGTGACAGGCATTGGATAAAATTAGCTTGTGTTGAAAGTGGAGGATGTGCCCACAAAGCTGATGGCAAAAGAAATAGAAAAATTGAAGAAATTGAAAAGATCGGAAGCATTTTTTTTTTTTTGCTTGTTTTAGTTTCTTTGCTGGCGTTGAGAAAATATCCTGGTTCCTTTGTTGCTTTATTGAAGCATGAAGGCCTCTCACTCGCAGTGAGCTAATGCAGACGTAGTCTGTTATATTAATTTACATTGTTGGCTTATTACCTAACATGACCTAAATCATTATAGTTATCTACTCCCTCTTCCTCCAAATGGGAGAATTTTTTATTATGTCCGGAATAAAAATGGTACACTACGTGTTTTTATATAAGTAGTGTGAAATTTTATTTTTTAAGTTATTAATTTTTTAATACATATATCTTATTATTTCTATAATAACACATGATAGTATATACTATCATGTGTTCTGGTCATATTGAAAATTCTCTCCAAATGGACCTAAATCATTAGGCCGGCCTCATCTTCATTCATGACCGGCCACAACGTCTTGTTGGCATTCGAAAAATCGAAGTTCGAATAATTTGTATTTCCAGAATTAGAATCCTTTCAGCAGTTAATTAGCAAGTTGCACAACGACTACAGTAGTATGAACTTTATTTATAATTAGACCTTTAAATCAATCAGTTAAGTAGCATGAACACAACTGGTGGTGTCAAGAAAAATAATTAATTGGTAATGCTAGGGAGTTCCAGTTTTTCAAACCAAATTTGCATACCTATGATGCGGTTGTAGTTAATTAGAATATTAATTAAGTATCGATTAATGTGTTTGTTTCTTATTGGTGATAAGCCATTTGATTTGCAAATTTGATTTAAAATTTGATATCTCTACCATTATCTTATATATAAAGCTAATAGAAAAGGTGAATAGTGATTTTGGTGTGACTAAGCTTCCACAAAAAATATTTGGACAAAAATGTTCTCAAGACAAAAAAACTTCAAAGGCATCCCATAATAGTGCATTAAATAAGGCAGGGGCATTTTTGTCATTTTAATAGTTTTTAAAAATATTTTAATGAGTGTTGATAGACCCACCCCATTGTCTTATTTCCCTACCCACGTTATAATCTCACCCACTATAAAAGTTTAAAATTTTGAAATCCTATTTTTCCACCCACCATAATTCCTAAAATAACCTTCACCACAGTTCCATTGTTCCGTTTTCACGACCAAGGGGACAAAATAGATGATTGGATGGAACTTAACCCAATAAAACAAAATTTTGTAAAAAATTTCTATATCCAAATTCCAAAAATTTCTGAAAAATTCCAAATGCACTACAATGAGATGCCTTGAAAATTGGATGGAACCTAATCTAATAAAACAAACCCAAAATTTGCAATCACCATGATCGTACTCCAATATTAGACGATATCATTTGCATAGAATAATATGCAGAGTAATCAAACCCTAATCAGGTAAATTCAAGCTTATTTGAATTGATTTGAGGAAAAAATGGCCACCACAGTTGGGATTTCAAATTCAAAGAATAAAGGAATTTCAATTCAGAGAGTGCAAAATTTCAATTCATCTACATTTCAATTCCTTTGCAGAAGATAGCAAGAATTTATGAGGGCAGGTGCGAATGAACTCCAAAGAAAAATTCTAGATTCGAAGAGAGTGAGATGGGATGAACGCTAGATTCAAAGAGAGAGAGATTCACGACGTTGGTCAAATGCCATAAAAAACAATTCTATGACGCCTAAAAAGTGCCATCATGTGCATGGCATTTATTAGGGACAAAGAGAGAGAACTTATGTACTAAAATGGTAAACATGGGATGAGAGAGAGACGGTGGCGGTTGGTGGAGAAGCCATAGCAGTTGATGTAGAAGGCGACAAGAGATAAACCAAGAGAGAAGCAAGAGGGAGAGAGAAATATAATAGGGCTGAAAAGTCTTTTTCTAGAAAATTAAACATGTTATTATTATTTTATTAAAAGGTGGGTGGAAAATAGGACAATGGTGTGAGGGTTAGTAGCACTCATTTTAATTAGTCCCTCATAATATGCTAGTAATAATGTGATTTAATTTCTCTATTTTTAAACACGTTTAAAACATTTTAAAATGCATGTAACACCAAAAAAATGACAAAAATAAGCAGTGCACACCCTTATATAATTTTAGCCATTAAATTAAATAAATAAATAAAAAATCACAATTTTAAAATTCTTCATGGATATGGTGGCTTATCATTTCTATTTTCTTCTCTCTCTTGATGTGGAGATAAATGGACAAGGATTGTCTGCCCTCCCACTTCCGGTGCCTTCTTGTGCCCTCCTGTTTTGTGTGGTCACTATTAAGTCACGTCAACATTTTATATTATTATTTTTATAGAGATAATAAGACAAAAATGAATAGTAATATAAAATGTTAATGTGGCTTGACCGTAACCACACAAACAGAAGGGCACGAGAGGGTACCGAAAGTGGGAGGGCAGACAATCCGTGTCCGAGATAAATAGCATATATACAAGAGTTTGCTTCAACTTGGGGGACACCATAATCATATATCAACAAGGAAATATCCGAATCTCAGTTGGCCTATCACAGAAAGTCGGAGCGGAGCTATTCACAGGCCTTAAAAGCCATCTACAACTGAAAAAGTTGAATATAGTTATGTTCAAAATTATAATCTGTAAACAAATTATTTTTAAATCAAGTCATACTCATATACCATTTATAACTGAAAGGATTAAACATATTTTCCCCAAGAATTTATTAGTTTTAAGCTTATACTATAAATTTATTAGTTAATTTAATTAAACTACTGTTATATGTTTTCAAATATAATCGTTGAATTTGAATCAATTATTGTAATTCTAATACTTCTTTGACTAAATAATGACCTAGTGGATTCTATAGAATTATAACCCAGTCATCAATAAATTAATTATTTTTTTACTTTTAAACCATCAACTCTCTGTTTTTTTTTTGGACAAATGTGTGACAACCGTCCCTAATTTTACAATTTTATAAATTTTAAAAGCGTGATTTTACGAAAATGCCCTTAGAGGCAAGGGTGTTGACCTTAGTTGACCATCGGTTAGAGACACGTGGGACTTATTCTTTTAGTATGTCCTTGTAGTACTTGTCTTTACGAACGCATAGGCGAAAGTGGTTTGCAAGTTCGATTTATAACGGTATAGTTACGAACGTTTGAAACTAGTTAATTATATTTTAGATTATAAGTGTTAACTCCCACTTTGTGGGAAGGGGGAACCAATCAGAAAATTTGGAGATTAGAAGCAACCAATTAGGAGGAGAGAGGGAAGCTCTCAGCCTCCCTCCCATTTTTCTTCCATGGCCTTTGAACACCCAAAAACCCGGTTTTGACCCGCGGTGGTTTCCGGCGATTCTCACCCGTTTCTCAGTTGATTTTCACCCATTTATCACCATCAAACCTTATCATCATATCCCAACATTCAATTCTAACCAAAATTTGCATGAAATGGTAGAAATTTCACGAAGAACACCCATGGGTGCCGTGGGAAACTTACTCGAAATCTACCCATTTGTGAAACGTTTTCCTTCATTTACCACTACCAAAACACTCCCCTAGAACCCAGGAACAAATCCCAAGCAAGGGTGGAGGTATCGAAGCAAGTTTGGAGGTCGAATCGAATCACACCCAATTTTAGGGTTTCGTACGATTTTAGCAAAAGTGGAGCCTTTCTAGGCCAAATTGGACTTGTCCACAGGTATAAAGTTTACTCTAATCTTTGAGATCTTCAATTCTGTAATTTTTGAGATTTTTAAAAATAGTTGAATTTTTCGGCGAGTCGGGACGGCCGACAACCACCCGCGGTGGCGGATGCGGCGGCACGTGGCCTGTGGGCCAATGATGTTTTTTTTTAAATACTATTAGATGCCCTGGGTTCATATTTGATATCCGTATGACGTAACTTCATTATTTGGACTTAGTTTCATTTCGACACGTGAATAGGTCAAAATATGAATCGACGATCCAATCGTTGGATCATCACCAAACTTTAATATGTTAGAGTACGTAATATTTGAAGATCATAGGAACATACGGATTGGGAATCCTACTTACAGATCTTTCCGAATTGGAATTGTAAGTTTATAAAATAAAAAGTTAATCGCCACTTGAAATTGAAATTGGCAGGGATCCAACCATTGGATTGTAATGAATTTTTAGTATATTGTTCTAGAAGCATAATGTGGATCCTTGGAAATTTCGGATCGGAAATCTGGGATGCGGATCTTCCGGATCAAATCATAGGGTGTGTTCTATATAAATTATGTATTCTATTGATAAGGATTCTGAGTCATGGTTTGATAATTGTTCTAGGCGCCGATTGTTCAGTGACATTCAACCTTCGTGCTAGGGATTTATGAATTTTAGCGAGGACTCTAGGTGAGTGGGTTTTTGGTTTTCTATCCAAGTATATATGCTTTATGTTTTAGAATATGCATCTAGTGATTGCTTATGTTATTGTTGATACTGTGAACTACGAATGGACTTGATCCGTGTTTAGAGTACGTAGGCAGCCTAACGAGATGTTAGATGCAACCATACAATAAATATGACTAAATAATTGACACAATAGCCTTGTTTGGGGAATTGAGCAATGTGAAGGAGATTGATGGAAAATGTGAGATTTAACCTTATTTATTTGGTGGTTATAAATTAATGTGTGAAGAATCGTAATATTGAAGTGAAAAATAGTTAGGAATGATAGTTAATTTAACTAGTGTTTAGTTGGGCTTATCATCGATAATTATTTCCGAAGGTAAATAGTTTGGGAGTGGGGTGTTACAGCTTACGCATATTATGCCATTTGTATATATGTTTATATATTTGGAAATATTATGATATGGTTGAATTTCAGATTTACATTCTGGTATATCCATATGTATGTTACTTGCACATAATTAAATGTGAATGCTCTGAAGTGTAAAGGTTAACGCATGATGCACATGTAAGTTTAGGTGAGTTTATGGTATTAGTTGAAATGATGGAGTTATGGCATGACTACATGTAAGTTTTAGGCAACTCCGACCTTGTCGTACAAGTTGCAATAATAGGCAACTCCGACACTGTCGTACAGGTTGCCCATGAGTTGTATATGTTACAATAGATGCAGTTAGAGCTCATAACCCTGCACCTCGGTGTTAGTGCTCCCGTCCATAGCCAATGCATAGTCCTTCACGTGATGTTTACCTTCCTGCTCCTTACGCTCACCTTGGATCCAAGGTAGGTGCACAGTCCTGTCATACAGACCACTATAGGTGGTTCCGACTCGTAGGTGACCCGCGATTATTTGCACAGTCTTCACGTGATCGTAGCACTTGAGCGTACTTATTTACACCCAGTCCTGTCATACAAACCACTATAAGTGGTTCCGACTTATGTGCATGGATATGTGATGAGTTATGGGTTCAGCCGTACAAGCCACAAGAGGTGGATCCGGCTGACATATTACTTGGATATATGATGAGATGTGGATAAGTCGTACAGGTCACTATAGGTGACTCCGACTTATGAGATAGCATTAATCGATGAGATATGGATAAATCGTACAGGTCACTATAGGTGACTCCAACTTATGAGCTAGCATTGATTGATGGGATATGGATAAGTCATGCAAGTCACATTGGGTGACACCGACTTACGTGCTAATATAGACTGTTCAGCACATGATTAGTTATAATGCTTATGAGATGCTATGTCATGGTATATTTATGAAATTACTGTGGATACATTTTGATTCCACTTAGATACGTGATATGATTTGGTGAAAACTATACAGGTTTTAAGGTGAGAGGTTAATTCCTTGGTAATTGAAATTTGGTTTGAAATGTTTGTTTCACTCACTCACATTTTCTATTTTTGCACCCCTCCAGGTTCTAACAGCAGAGTGTCCGTATCTATGAGGATTCTTGGCACTTTTCAGTTCAGGTGTTTTCTTATGATGATATAATCATTACCTTACCTTACTGTACTTTACTTATCCTCTGTATCGCGTGTGTAATGGGTTCATTCCCGCTCACAGCGTATTCTGGTATTTATTCACTCTTAGGTTCAAATTAATTCATATTTTTTTTATCATCATCACACTTTTTAGCTTCGTCACGTTCCGGATGTTGACCAGCATAGTTCGATTCAGAATCCTAGTGGATATTCCGATTCGAGGTGTGTCAAATGTGACTTCATTAACAACCCAACAACTTTACAAATAAGAGGCTCAATTACAAGACCAGCACAAAATAAAAATAAGGCCTCCAAGCAAAACAAAGCCCAAACAGGAAAACAAAAAAAGACAACAAGTCGAAGCAGCCAGCTCCATAACTACCATCGACTAGAATCCACCATTGTGCACCTTCATCCTCAGCAAATACCAGAGATGCAGCCAACTGACATCCCATAAGTGGTGGAAAAGAGAGCTTCAACCTACCTCCATCAAGCACCAACTAGATCTGAGCTACATATTGTGGTCTGAGCTACATATTAAAGGAAACTAGAGGGAAGGAGATCCCACCAGTAACAATGCCAATAAAGGCATACACATGGAAGGTGGTGGTGTTTCCATCGAAGCCTTAGCTATACGCACCTTTTAAGAAGTCGTGACAAGTCGAGTGAAGAAAAGTGGCTTATAAAGCCCAAATTGAGTGAGATAGAGGAAGGACAGAGCAAAGGATTGATGGATAGGATGGTGAAGGAAAAGAAATAAGGATGTGAAGGGGAAACTAAGATTTGAAAAAGAGGGGACCAGAGCTAGGAGTGCAAGTAGATTGGGCCGAAACAATGGGGACAAAACACAAGCCAACGATCATGCAGAAAAAAAAGGAAAAAAAAAAAAAAAAAGAAACGGGAGACAGCCACCAACCCTGGACACAGCCAAGACACCAACCCTGGACGGAAGAGGGAGGAAGCAATTAAAAACAAACTCTCACAAGGGAAGAAGGAACTCTCACGAAGAGGAGAGAAGTCATATAATGACTTTGGATAACCTTTAACTCTCTTTATTTGAGATGATCTAAGTAACCTTTGGCTCCTTCCTTTTTTATTGGAACCGATCCCCTCTGAATCCTTTAAAACTAGGCCCACTAATCAATGAATCCGGGGCGTTAAAATTTGATTCAACAGCTACAAACAAAGGGGCCCTCAAAAGTTATAATAATTGTAGCTATTTGATCAAATTTCAACCGTCCGAATTTATTGATTAGTGAGCTCAATTTTGATGGATTCGAAGGGGATCCGGTTCCTTTTTTATTAACCCTTCCATAGATTGAAGCTCAATTATTTGACTCCAACTACTTCAATAATTTTAAGCTTGTGACTCCCAACCCTTTTCATAGATTTAACCTCAATTATTTGACCCTCAACAACTTTAATTATTTTAAGGTTGTGGCCCCAAACAACTTTAATTATTTTAAGGTTGTGGCCCCAAACATTGAGGATATGTGTCTCCACGTACTCCTCTCCATCGTGCATGAACAAGGGTTTACTGTTGAAAATTAAAATCAGGGCAGTTATAACATCAAATCAGATTACTTTCGAAATTATGCACAGAAAAATAAAATAAAATAAAAGACTGACTAGCAGAGATTAGTCTAAATTGCTTTCGAAATTGAGAGTGGGACAGTGTCTACCGATCGATCAGAGGACTTACATTTTCTTATTTTATTATTTGATGGAATATTGGGATTGAATTAGTTACAATAATTAACATTATATTTTATTTAGATAATGGTTATTTAGCAATTAAGCATGAGTTTATTTGATTTTGCATGACGCGGGCTTTGAGTTTTAAGCAACATGTTTCACGAGCTTTAAAGCAGACCTCACTCAGTTCATTTTTTTGAAGACTCTCCCAAACTCAAGACTGAATCTCCTCTTCTCAGTCCTCCCTCTCGTCTTATTTAATTTCCATATCCACTATTCAGTGACATTCCTTGTTATTTGTTAATTTCGTATTTTGTCCAACCAGCAGCCGGCCGACAATTCCAGGTACAATGATACAAGTTACACCATATGTTCCACATTTACATAAGCAGAGTTTAGCCAAGTCAGCCGATATTCCTTCTAGTTTTGTTCCTATTCTGCAGCAGCTATTCTCTCTCCTCTTAATCTTTCTCCACTTCTTTCCTATTCTATTTGAATGGTTACGGTTAAACATTTTGTATTGATTTTTTTATAAAGACAATAAGACAAAAAACAATATGTGAGAGGAGGGGAGAGAAGAGAATGAGAATAGGAGGGGAGAAAATCCTACTCCAAATTGCTTACTCTTTTGCAGTATCTTTTACTGGTAAAATGTAATAGATTCACCCTACTATAAGTTTATTGTTTTGGGTAATGGTTTATGCATGTCTTTTAGCAAACACTAATCTTCATCAAAGATAGAATCTCTTATTCATTATTTAAAGTTTTATTTATAACACATTAAATTCGGATAGCAACTTTGGGGTTCCTTATTAGCTCTATTTGCATCCCAAAAGGAATAGTGTTGGGCTGATCATATTGTCTGGTAACTATGTATTGGATCTTTAGATTCGTGTTGTTGAACCTGAGGTTTGCATTCACTGCAAATGCTTCTACTAGCTGCTTAATATATACTTCAATTTCTCTCTTAAAATCTACCAAGAATTAGTAACAGAAAGCGAATCGCAGAGTGGTAAATTTTCATATAGAATACGATTTTCCTCTTTAACTCACTACGTCATAAATTCAAACTCTCTCATCTCCTCTTACTCTAACTTAGAATAGTAATATTACTTGTAATAAAAGAAAAAAATAAAGAAAAGTAACTACAAGTAAATTAAGGAAGAGGATCCTCTCCTGAGCTTAGGATGGGGATCCTCCTGATCAATTCATTTAGACCGTTCAAATTTAATTCAACGGCTCCAAATAAGGACCTTCTAAAAGTTATAATAATTGCAACCGTTGGATTAAATTTGAACGTTTCGTATGGTTTGATCAGGAGGATTCTCATCTTGAGCTCATGAGAGAATCCTCTTCTGTAAATTAAAGCATGCAGAACTGAAATCTCCCATTTCTTCATTAATGATCAGTCTGAAAAGGACAACTCAAAAGTTGTAATAACCCTTTGAATCAATTAAGAAAAACTCAAAAGTTTTTTTTTTTTTTTTTCCTGACAAAAAAAAAAAAAAAAAAGAAAAATTAAGCAAAGCAGATTATTATTCTTTAAACTATTTATTATTATTCTTTAAACTATTTATTTCATTCTATAAATTTGTTTAAACAGTAAGCTTAAACAAAACACACTAATCACTCGGCCGAAGCCTTAACCTTCTGCAAATAACAATCTATAGCTCCTAGCGATCTCTAGTAACGGCCTCGTGGAAGAGGGGGGATGCTCTGCTCATGCCGGAAGAAGTTTTGAGGATCGGCTTTGGTCTTTATTTTAACCAGTCTATTAAAATTGTCCTTGAAATACCTGTAACCCCAAGAACTTGCTTGAATGAAACTTGAGCTACTCTTCTTGTTAGTCCCCAAATCAAGATCCCTATAATTCACATATGCCTGCCTTGGAAACTTTGTGACATAAGAACCCATGTAATTGTAAAGCTTCCTACTCCAATCCATGTGCTGTGCCTCGTTACCTCCAGCTTGCCATGAAGTCACGTACTGAATTTTGAAGAGAACATTTCTGTGAGGAAAAGGTATCGCGCTTTCGGAAATCCTGCTCATCATTCCGCCATACGGATTGAAAATCATCAGAGGAGAGGATTCTTGTAGTATCATCTTCCACAGCCCCTCAAGCCCCTTTTCTGGAATCGGGGTCTTGACAAAGTCTGATTTGGCTTTGAAGTAGCCCTTGGGCGTGGAGGATTTTCCTTGAAGCAAAAATTCAGGAGGAGTTGTACTTGGGTAACCTGCTATGTACATCACAGATTTGATCCAGCTCATTTCGGTACAATCCTTTCGTGTCAAACCCAATTCGGGGAAGCTTTTTTGCATGACGTTGAGTAATCTATCAACACCTCCAAGAAATTGAGCTTCGTAAAGAGTTGTGACCGATGTATTGCCGGTTTTGCTGATGATAACTCTGATGAAGAGATCATCATCAATCAGTGGAGCTACTTGTTGCCATCTGTAGAGGAGCTTCGTGGCGCCTTGTTCCAAGGTCTTTGGAACCGTAAAACCAGTCACGGTTGCTGGAACTGGAACCAACTTTACTTTCCACCAAAGGATGATACCGAAACTTGCTCCTCCACCTCCTCTAATTGCCCAAAACAGATCCTCTCCCATTGCCTTTCGATCAAGAATCTTCCCGTTAAAGTTTATGATTCGAGCATCCACAGCGTTATCAGCACCAAGGCCATATTTCCTCAACATGGAGCCATATGCACCACCAGTTATGTGCCCACCAACGCCTAGACTCGTGCAGAGTCCGGCAGGAAAGCCAAGAGTCTTGCTTTTCTCTGCAATTCTGTAGTAGAGTTCGCCAATGGTGGCACCGGCTTGAACCCATGCAGTGTTGGATTTGATATCAACACTGATAGGTTCGAAGCTTTGCGAGGTCTACGACAAGGAAAGGCGTTTCAATTTGGGAGACATAGGAGAGGCCTTCGTAATCATGGCCTCCACTTCGGACCCTGAGATGGATTCGAAGCTTTTTCGCGCAAATGACAGCAGCTTGCACATGAGAATCATGCACCGGTGTGAAAATAAACTCCGGCTTTGGCACTGAGGAGACCAAGTACCGGAGGTTTTGTGCAGTAGACTCAAGAACAGTGGTGAAGCTAGAATTTTTCGGAGTGAGAAAGTCTGAAGAGAATGGAATGGTAGTCGTAGAATAACGTGAGAGGCATTGGATAAAATTTTCTTGTGTTGAAGGTGGAGGATGCGCCCAGGAAGCTGATAGCACAAGGAAAAGATAAAGAGAAAAAATTGAAAACGTTGGAAGCATTATGTTGGCTGGTTTAAAGGCTCTTTGGTGGTGCTGAGGAAATAGTCTAGTGTCTTGTGTAGCTTTATAGAAGCTCGAAGGTCTAGTAGCGACACCAACGTATGATCTTTTTTTTTTTTTTTTTTTTTCTTTCTTTGGGGAAAAGATACCAACGTATGTTTGAGCTAATGCAAACATCACTTTTTCAACTTGAGATACATTATTGATATATTAGAAATTTTCTGTGCAAGACGTCCATCCTGTATTAAGAGGCAATAGGCAATTCAATCCCTCAAGTAAATAGTAAATGTCTTTAATGAACCGTAATTGCCTAAGTGCATCTCCATCCTTAAACTGAATAGCCCAGACAATTCGTATTAGAATATTATTATTATTTTAATAAAATAATAATAAATAATTTTTATTTTTAAATTCGAAGAATAATAAAAAATTGGATGACAGTATTTGAAAAATATTGAAATGAGGTGTAAGGTGGAAGAACATAGTTAAATATTTATAGAAAAAAATTATAATTTTTTTATACTCTTTTGTATTTTTAATTAATTAATTAATAATTATTTGTATTTTAATTAATTTTTAATAGTGACTGTCGTCAATGTGAAGTCAGCGTGATAGCACATAACCCAAGGGTTAAGTTAGGCAATTCTGGCCTAGAGGACTAACTGGGCTCCCCCATAAGGCAGTAGACTTTGGAGCGCTGGAGGAGATTTTGGAGAGAGGAGGGGGTGTGGGGGAGGAGGATTTAATCCACCATCTCTTGGGAGATAGTATCATGCTGAAAGTGTTCTAAGGTACAAATTTGTATCAATAATAGCGATACTGTGTCAATAAAAATCTTTTTGACATGTTATTCATAATTGACGGCATCAAACACCTTACTGATCAAAAATTTGTTCAAGAGAACAAGAAGTTGATCCCTCGCCTAATAACTCAAAGTTTTGGGGTCCATTGTATACCTCCCCAAGTGCAGGTTTATTAGCTCGTTTTCCCACAACTTAAGCTTTCTGGGTTCACTTATCATTTGTCAATGTGGTGTTTACTCCGAAGCACTACAGAAAAACCCGTTTAGATCATCTTGGTCAATGACTCACATCATGCGCTCCCCTTCCACAGTCAAGTGTCAACCAAAGCCACGGTCCATATCATTCGCTCATCGCGGCGTGGTGAACGGTGCATGTATGCAGTATGCTGTATAAATAAGACTCCAAAACTCGATGTGAAGTAGAATATAGACTTTGATATATCTGACCCTCATTTTTCCACCACCAATACATGCATGATTAGGCCTGTCAACATTTCCAGCCTTATGGGTTTAGTCAAAAAGTCAGTTTTGAGTAATCAAATTAGGCTAATTCCAACTTAATTATTTCCGTGTAGGTTTTCAGGGTCTAGATATCCAACTGAGGAATCTTCTTTCAACCATTAGAATTCTAAAAATCCAACTGAGGAAATAAAAAGGCTTTACATTTAGAATTAAAAAAAAATGAAAAAAATGCTTTTACTGCAATCACAAAAAACAATCATGCATATGCGTTTTATTGTGAATTCGATATCCACTGATTCTGTTATCTCTAATAATTATTTAACCTTTTAAAATTATCATTCTACTAAAAAATAAAGATAAAAAAACAGGCCCACACTGCCCAACTACCATCTGCAATAGGTTTCAAGCCTCTTTGAGGCATTTCAGCACACACTTTCCGCCGACTTGGTGAGAACGGTCAACGTAGGAGCAACCGGTGACCAACTTGAATAGTTAAGTGGATATTTCATTGAGCACAATTTTTGAGTCGTGGAAAGACGAAAACTTTATTGAATTTTAGCTGTGTAAATTTGTAATAAAGTTTTACTTATGCTTTAGGATTTGACATTTTCTTATACGCATGGAGCTTTTTACACTTTTTTTTTTTCTCTTATTTTTTTTTTTTTTTTTTTTTTTTCTAATTTCTAATTTCTTTATGACTTCTAATTCTCTTTTAACTTATTGAAAACACTTGAAAGTCAAGAAGGAGTGCATAAATTGAAATAAAAAGAGAATATGTCTTTTTTAAACCACGGCGGTATGTTACAGATTTTTTATTTTTATAAGAAATAAAGAAAATTTAAGATAATACCTATAGATGGTGGATTGGTCCTGTGGTTAAAGGGGTGGGGAATAAGCCAAGTCTTACAATTGGCTAGCAATAAATGTGTTCAAATTCGCTTTTGGTAAGAATCGAACCTAAGACCTCTTACTTTCAAATAAAGAAGAATATCCTTACACCGTAGTACATTGTTATTTTGATCTTTACATCAATAAGACAAGTCCATTGTTCTCGAACGATTATAATTAAGTGACAAAATTGCCCTTCTGTCCTTAACGAGTGAAATACTAGAAACCCTAAGTCGAACATGATTGAAGTTTTGGTAAGAATCGAACCTAATACCTCTTACTTTCAAATAAAAAAGAATATCATTACGCCGTAGTATATTGTTATTTTGATCTTTACATCAATAAGACAAGTCCATTGTTCTCGAATGATTATAATTAAGTGACAAAATTGCCCTTCTGTCCTTAACGAGTGAAATACTAGAAACCCTAAGTCGAACATGATTGAAGTTTTTGTTGCATGGTAGTTTGTAGATTCAGATTTTACGTTGCAGTTTTTGTTCTGTTATTGTCAAAATAGTTACATTCAATAGATTTAAGTATGATGGTTTTGTTAAGTTTGTTGAGCCGCACGGCTCTGTGTCAATTCTTTTGCATTTAAATTTGTATTCCCCTTTTTAAATACGTACACATAGGGTTAGAATATGATGACACATGTTTTTGACACACAATTTGTTACCAATTTTGTAGGGCCCTCTTTCTGATCATTTCGATAATTCGAATAGTCTTTTATTTCAATTCATCATTAATAAATCATCCTTACAAACTTACTTTGGGCTACGGGCGGTGAGACCAAGAGACTTTGACAATTTTATTCAATCTATATAAAATCTTCTAACAAAGACTTTCAATTTCCTTCTCACTTTTGGTTTGAAATTTTATATGATTTTAGTTTTGGGACTTATCAATAGCCTTTATTCTTTATTGACCTTTTACGTCAAATAAGGCAAGTCCATCCATGGTTCTCGAACCCTTATAATTGAGCGACAAAATTACAATGAGTGAAATGCTAGAAACTCTAAGTCCAACATGATTGAAGTTTCTGTTGCATCGCAGTTTGTAAATTTGGACTTTACATTGCAGTTTTTGTTTTGTTATTGTCAAATTAGTTACATTTAATAGATTTTGGTATGATGATTATTACTAGCGAAGCCAAGAATGTTGGGGGCAGGAGTGAAGCGTAAATTTTTTTTTTTTTTAAAGTAGACAATCCAACCTTTTAGAGTAGACAATTTTAATATCATTCATAATTTATTAATACAAATAAGTTACAATAGTAGATAATATTAATGTCGTTTATAATTTATCTATGAGGCTATTGCTTAGTGCATTTGCTGGTTCTCCAGTTATATAACATAGTTAAACGGCATCTGAGAACCTTAATCCTCATAACACAATAACGCCCTTCGTCCTCTAAAAACCTTACTCCTAATCAAGGTCTAAAATATCGTTGATATCGGAAATATTGGTAGTCCAAAAACATGAAAAGTTCGATGAAAATATTGGGATATTATCGATATTGATAAAAATTGAATAAAAACCACGGAAATTGTAAGAAAAACTTGGAAATTTTTATTGAAACTTTGCAGGATGTTTATTTAGTCAATTATCTATTAGTTTATCACAAAAAATTGGAAGGAAATGCATTGCATGATGGATTTAACTGATTTAAGTTGATTATATAGTGAGTCGGCAAACATTGTGAGTGTAGAAAATATGTAGTAATTAATGAAAGAAGTTTAAACACACCATAATCATTTATATATAATGAATTAGTACAATATTTTACACTTTATACATTGCATGGTAAGATACATGAGTGACTTAGTACCACATAGAGTTCCTATAAGGTTCAAAATGTTCACTATCTTCATCATCTCTATGTGTAGAATAAGTGTATTGTGAAGAGTAGTCATCAAATGATAAATCCCCAAAATAGTTTTGCATGTAATTGTTAACATGCCATCCATATGGATCCGAGATGGGTTGACGTTGTCCATAAGCAAAATCATTTGAAGATTGAGTCTCGGATTCTTTCCATGAGTCGCTTGATTCCATCCCAACAGGAATGGGATATGAAGGGTAGGGAAATGGTTGGTTATGAGTATAACCATAGTTACTACTTCTCACTCCAACAGAGTCCGAAGTTATAGATAACGAGTTATCTTCTTGACTTGACAAAGTCCCCTTGCCTCTTTCTCTGCGAGTATAGTCATTCCCTATGGCACCAATTCCTGGTTCTGCCCGCCTACTGCCATGGTCCTTATCCTGTGTTGCATGCGTGAAGTTTGCCTCACCAGTGAATGGGCTCATAAATTCGGGAGGTGGTCCAACATAGTTTCCATATCCACCACTACCTCCAGCTCCACTATATCCTTTATCATTCCCACCTCCGATGGTAGGTGAGTCTCCTGATCTTGTACTAGAGCTATCATTAGTATCATCAGGATCTTGTGGTTGTGTAGGATTGGAAGAAGGTGGAATTCCAATGTTTCTTGGTCTTCGACGCAAAAGTTCTTCGAAAGAGTCAGCGCTGCTAGATCCCACCTCCTCCTCTAATACTCTTTTTACATTTATCCCTTCATTACGTGCTTCTTCAGCAACTCTTAGAGCTGGGTTGCCTTCATCATCATCTAAATGAAGAGGTCTAATCCATTGATAAAGTTGGTTACCCTCTGTATTATCATCTTCGACAACAATATCAAACACATCTAGTGGGTCACCACGGTCGACATGATCTATTTCTGCTTCCTTATCTTGAATTTGAAGCTTCATGTTGTAGTAGCAATAAACTAATTTTTCCAACCTACTATGAGCCAACCTGTTTCTTTGCTTTGTGTGTATAAGTGCAAATGTACTTCAATTTCTTTCACAAGCAGATGAGGAAGTTGTTTGTGATAATACTTTTATTACTAACTTTCTCACAGTTGGTGCATCAGTCCCATACATGATCCACCATTCAACTATAATGAAAAACAATGTTGATAACTCCAACAAATTCTATTATAAACTGATAGTGAAATATGTTTACACTCACTAGGAGATATTTTTGTTCGAGCAGCAACTGATGTTGGTTCTCCAAAAGTTCTTCTTGCATCTTTAAACCATGTTAGCTGAATTCAATAAATCGTGTTAGTTTAATCCAACAATGTAATTATTATAATTTAAGTAACCAACTGTTGGTGATGCAGGGTCTAATTTAGAGTATACATTATGTACAATACGTATAAGGGTACCATCATCTCCAACATCGGGTCTGTATTGGTATCGAGGATTCAAATAATATGCTATTCAAAGAAACACATACTCTAATAAGAGAAATAATACTTATGCAACTAAAGAAATGAATTGCAAATTATGACATAATTTATACATGCTGCATGCAAATCGTGGTATAATGTTTTATACCATCGGTCATCGCACACGGTTTTGAGTATGAAACCAACCACCACTACTTTTTGTCTTGTCAAAAGTTGTCAAAAGTTGGCATGTTTGGGGGATTTATATTATATATATATATATATTATATTATATTATGTATATATATTATATTATATTATGTAACTTATCATAACACACACTGAATTATTATGTTTATTTTATCGATATTATCCCGATATATTGACGAAAATAAAGTGGATACGTGTGAAAATATCCCCATCTCAAAAAAACGATATTATCGGCGAAATATCGCCGATAATATCGATATTTAAGACCATGCTCCTAATAACAAAATCCTCATTACCTATGTCTTGGAGGTGGCAAAATAAATTCTAACACTATTAAGGAGATATATCTCTTTCAAGATTTTAGGCTCACAAGTTGGATTCTCTTCAAATTTACTTGGCCGCTATGTATGCTTCTGCCGCTAAAGACCGTTTGGAGCAAACTTAACCAACCTTCCCTTGATGAGCAGCAGCAGGAATAAATGCTTTCTGTATTGGCGTTGGGTTCTTGAACCCGAGCCTATATGTTGATGTCATGATCAGATGATGGAGTCTCAACTATGCCTGTATATTGATTCCATGATCGGTGGTGGCTGTTTGTTCCTTCTGGGTTTTTTGTCGCTGCTTGTTTGTTCCTTTTTCTTTACAACAAAACGACGCCGTTCTCATTTATTTTTAATCTCAGGTTTAAAACTATGGCTTGGGTGTTTTAAAAAAATAAAATAAAACACAGCCGCAATAGCGCAACGCACAAGTTGCAGCCTGCAGAATTCGGCAAGTTCAGAGGATCAGAGGGACGGAATTCTCAATCTTTGCCGTGATTGCTGAAGACCGGAGGGGCGACCGCGTCTTCGTGCACCTCTGTAACCTTGCCAGGGATGATTGTAGAATATCAGTTTTATGAAGTTTATTGGCTAAGGCACTGTGCCAAATCTTTTGAATTTAAATTCTTATTCCCTGTTTTGTTAGTTAGAGTAGTTTAAATACACACACATATAGAATTAGGATTCGAGGATACAAACTTTTGACACACATTTTTCTATTTAATTTTTATTTTAAAAGGGGGACAACTAGTGGCAAATCACGGTTATCTACCTCTTTTGGGGGTTGAGAAGGCTCACAGAAGCATTTCAGCCTCTCCCTGGCCACAAGTCTGGCTTCCATGGTTTCGAACCTAAGACCTCCAATTTTTAGTTTCAAGGAAGCCTCGCAATCTGCTCTTTACCATTGAATCATTAGCTCGTGGTTCACATTTTGCTATTTTATAGGGCCCTCTTTGTAATAAATTTCAACGATATTAACCATCTATATTTCAATTCATGTTGCAAAAAACTAGATAAACCCAAAACTATTAAGACATTCATTTGTAGTAAAAAAAAAAAAAGGATGAATACGGTTTTACACAGAAATACTAAATTTAATCCAACAGTCATATGACTTCGGATTTGGATGATTTTTGGAAGAGATGATATTTGAGGGAAGATTAAAAGATAGACGGTTGAATAATTAAAATACAATTATGGAGTGGACCTCACAAAACGTGTGTAAAATATGTGTTTTCCACCCTCTCCATTGTATAGATAATATTGTTTCTTAAAAAAAAAAAAAAATGTGTTTTCAAATCCTAACCCCTATAGAGTTATATAATTATTCTTTTGAAAGTTAATAATGAAAGAAATGAAATGAGTACATTCTACTTTCCTAATTCTAGTCCGTATAAAGGCAAATCCACAGTCCATAAAAGGGCAAATATTTTATAAAATAAAAAAATAAAATAGGTAAAGTCAATATTTCAATTTTCTCATACAGACACATTACTGCAGCGCCCATACCAGTTGCATTACGTCACTTTTATACAACCATTGAATGGTGAGACCAAGAGACCTTCATGATTTTATTCCAGTCTATATAAAATGGTAAGTGATTTTTACAATTTCTTTTTCTCGCATGCACATCTCTCTTTGTTTTTTGATCAAATATTCAAATATCTAAAAGGAAGTTAAGGGACCAAAACAAAGAGATGAGTGCAAGCAGAGAAGCGGGGAATGTGAAAATCACTATACCATGCATACATGATTCCCTTTAATAAGAGCACACTGATCAAACCATATGCAAGACCTTACTTACCATGCTGCAAACATCATAATCTAGCTGTTCTCTGTTCTATGGTGATGGCCTGTAGAAGTTCTAGATCTTGAAGGGAGTGGGAGAGGAGGGATGCTTTGTTCATGCCTGAAAAAATTATCAGGATCCACTTCGGTCTTTATCTCAATCAACCTCTTGAAGTTGTCCATGAAATACCTTTTCCCCCAATCACTTGCCTCAATGAAGCTTACGTTGCTTTTCTTGTTAACCCCCAAATCAAGATCCCTATAATTCACGTATGCCTGCCTTGGAAACATTGTGACATAAGGGGTCATGTAATTGTAAAGCTTTCTGATCCAGTCCATATGTTTGTTTTGATCTTCTTTCCCATCCTGCCATGTGGTCAGGTACTGGACTTTGAAGATAACTTTTCTGTGGGGGAAGGGGATTGCACTCTCTGAAATCCTGCTCACCATTCCCCCATATGGGGTCAAAATTACTAGAGGAGACTCTTCCTGCATCAGCCTCTTCCAAAACCCTTCAAGCCCACTTTCAGGAATTGGGTATTTGACAAAGTCTGATTTGGCTTTGAAGTAGTTCTTGAATGTGGATTTTCCTTGAAGCAAAACCTGTTAGGAATTTAAAGGCACCAACAAACTTTTAGTCCGAAGATCACACCAAACGAGTAAAATGAACACCAAAATCAATTTAGAAACAAGCAAGCACAAAGAACACAAGATATGTTGAGGTTCACACAAAAAAATTATGTTAAGTCGCCCAGCATTAAAGTAAATTCACTAAGGGCATATTGGGGTTTGCTTATGTAATGACTAAAAATGTTTTTGTCTTCTAACAACTAAAATCATTTTCTACTGCATTTGACAAAAAAACCGGACCACGTCCTCCAACATTAAATTGGTTTCACTAAAGACCTATTTAGGACTGCTAAAAGTACTTTTATAATAACAATAGTATTTCTACTAAATAAGGCATTTGGGTTGTGGAACTACTTTTTGGAGAAGCACTTACTAGCTAGGCGCTTCATTAAGCACTTTTAAGTGTTTTTCTAAGAACTACTTAGGGTTTAAATAAAAAATTTGACATGTATCTTAAAATCACTTATAACAAAAATAGAAGCGTTTCGCACATGATTCCCATACTAGCCTTGAACAAATATACAAGATGATTATTACCTCAGGTGGGGTCGAACTTGGGTACCCTGCTATGTACATCACAGATTTGAGCCAGCTTGTTTCTGTGCAATCTTTTTTGGTCAATCCCAACTCAGGGAATCTGGTTTGAACAACATCAAGCAATCTATCAGCACCTCCAAGAAATTGGGCTTGGTAAAGAGTTATGACAGTTTTATTGCCAGTTTTGCTGTCTTTCGACACTTGTATGACGACTCTAATAAAGAGATCTTCATCCAGCTTAGTGGGAGCTACTTGTTGCCATTTATGTAGGACTTTAGTGGCACCTGTTTCCAAGGTTTTAGGAACAGTAAAAACTGTCACGGTTGCCGGAACAGGAACCAGCTTTATCTTCCACCAAAGGATGATTCCAAAGCTTCCTCCTCCACCTCCTCTGATTGCCCAAAAAAGGTCTTCTCCCATTGCTGCTCTATCAAGAACTCTACCACTCACATCAACGATTCTCGCATCAATGACATTGTCAGCTCCAAGGCCATATTTCCTCATCATGGAGCCATATGCACCTCCAGTTATATGCCCGCCAACACCTAGACTCGTGCAAAGCCCGGCAGGGAAGCCGTGTGTTTTGCTCTTCTGTGCAATTCTGTAGTAAACTTCACCAATGGTGGCCCCAGCTTGAGCCCATGCGCTGTTGTCTTCGATATCAACAATGACTGATCGAAGCTTGGCGAGGTCTACAATGATGAAAGGCGTTTCGATTTGGGAGACATAAGAGAGGGCCTCATAATCATGGCCTCCACTTCTAACTCTGAGGTGGATTTCAAGCTGCTTTGAGCAAATGACAGCAGCTTGGACGTGGGTATCATGCAATGGAGTGAAGATAAACTCAGGCTTTGGCGCTGAAGGGACCAAGTACCTAAGATTTTGTGCAGAAGATTGTAGGAATGGAAGGAATGTAGAATTTTTTGGGGTGATCAAGGCTGTGGTGAATGGGATTGAAATGTCAGAATTTTCGGAGAGGCATTGGCTGAATTCTTGTAATGAAGGTAGAGAATGTACCCATGAAGTTGAAATCAGGAGAAGAAACAGTGAGAAAATTGAAGTGTTTGGAATTGAATGCTTCATGCTTAATTGCATTGTTTAAGGTATTGGCTTAGTGTGGTGTTGAGGAAGTGGATAATGGTGTGTGTTGCTTTATAGATGCATGAAGTCTCTCATTGACACCACAACGTCTTCTTGAGCTAATGCAAACATCATGTGGTGTTGGGAGGGAAAAATTATTACGTACGATTGTTGTGGAATAGCTAATTTGGGATAATTCTTTTTTGTTTTCTTATAAACAAAGTGTAGCTGTCATACGTTGTCACATTTATTATTATTTTATATTTGAGATTTTAATAAATAAATGCATATATGAGAATTGTTAAGACCATGTGTGGCTCAGTCATGGTGAAAATTTCTAACCGCGTACGTTGGGATCATTTAATTTAATTTTGGCGTTTAAAGTTTAAAGTTTATATTTAGATTGTATGTTTGTGTAAAAAAAACTCTGAAAATTTTATTCGAATCCATTTTTTTATAAGGAAAAATAATGACAATGACTTGAAAACTTTGAGTTTTAACGATAATGACAAAATAAATGATAAAGTGAATAGTATCAAGATTGTTTTTTAGTATAAAAATGTGGTTTTTTGTTAAAATGAACAGTACCGTAGACTTTTCGTTAAAACTTTCTTTTTTATATCTCGTATGGGGTTGTATTATTCTTCAAGTATGTGGACAGTGTGGAGTGCGGACCAATTCAGCAATCAACATCTTTGATCTGCCATTTCTATTCGTTCATGTTCCTTTAATGTCTTGAGTATCCAGAAATAATTTTATCATGTTCTTGCTTTAAATTCAAGTTCCCGTGTATATTGTAAATGGTTCTTCGTCTCATTTAAGCAAAACAAAAAAGAACTTGGGTGAAATCAGGAAATTTCTTTTTCTAGGCAATAGGAACGTGCAATATACTTTATACCATTAGAATTATTTTTCTTGAATTTCCTAGATAAAGTACTTGAGCTTCGTTTTCGGACTAAAATAATCCTTATTTAAAATAGGTTGTGGACTTGAATGGTAGACCATACTTCAATCATATTTTCTATATTTAATTTTGTACTCTAAACTTTTTTTTTTTTTTTTTTTAATTTTATAGATCTAGATAGTTAAAATTTTGAAGTGCTCATAACAATTAAAAAAAAATCAAATATATAAGATAGTTATCTTAATTAGGGGTGGGTATGGGATGAGTTGGTTTGAATAGACTTCAACCCATTGCCCAACTCTGGAGGCTCGAGTTGACATTATTGAAATCCATTTCCACTAGAGAAAATTGGCGACCAATCTAACATTCATTCCAAGAATAAGTGACACCCAAAATGTCACAAATTGGTTCAAGTATAGAATTCAAGCCGGGAATGTGAGAGGAAAGCATGATCACAGAAAGAGCTAATAGGTGATGAGTGAAAATTTCGTTGGGTGGACTATAGGTGACACTCCATATGATAAAAGAAAATGGTCCTATTTGTTTTGCTTTCAGTGTATATTTGACGAAGGCTATTCTTCACAGAATCCATGTTTTTTTTGTAGTGAAACCATTCTAAGGCGGGTTGGGTTGTGAGAGTTCTACGGCTGTGGTTATTTACTTTCTTCTTATTTCTAAAGTGAGTATGAGTGACGAATAATTTAAAATACATACCATATTAAATCATATAAATTTGATGTTGTAGAATTACTACTTGTTCTTAATATTTAAATCTTATTATTGAAATAAAGTATAAATAAACAAGTGTCTTTAATAACTATTAAATTTTTTTGTATATTTATATGTAATATATATGTATTTAAAAAAAAAAATTGTTGATATTCAAGTGGATCAATTTCTATCGGGTCAATAATACTTTAGCCTAACTTAATTCACCTCCTAAACGAGTGGTCGGTTTTTTACTCGAAATTAAAATTTTCATGTTTACAACCCAACTAACCCAACAAATTTCGCTTGACTTGGTCGATAAACCAACTAAAGTGTCCACCCCTAATCTTGACTACCCAAATATGATATACTCGAGCCACGATACTCAGTTGACTCAATTGCAAGCCTCTTCCTCAGTCATAAAGCTTTTAATCATTGTCTATTATATAATACTAGTTAAGTAATTCTTTAGATTTAAAACATGATTGTCAAACAAAAGATAGAAGTAAAAGCAAAGCATCAATGCTGACAATAGCATAACATCAATGCCCACAAGTAACTATCGTGGCCCTCAATTCAGCTGCGATTGCGCTTATGTCATCGTCTCTTACATTTTGATATTTCGATCCTTACATTTTAACATGGTCCAACAAAATTATCGTAACGGAAATGGAGATGAGAAAAGGTAATGATTTTCACACTTTGTTTTCTCTTTTTTGCACTCATGCTTTTATTTAGGTTCAGTTGATTCTCCTTTAATTTTATTCAAATAAAATAAATAAAAAAGTAAAAATGTTTAGGAAGAGAAAAAAGGAGTATCAATTTTAGTTTCAATGTTTTAAAGAGGTGAATGTAAACTAGTCCTTATTAATTTGAGATGTTTTGTAAATTACGATTTAAGTAAATGAACTATTGACCTAACCTAAACATAGACAATTTCTTCATGCACCCTGTTTACCTATAATTTTAAACAATTTAATGAGAGAAAATATACTAGAATTTGATTAGGCCATGTCAAAACAAAAGATTAATGAAAATGATAACATACCTTTTTTTTATTCTTCACACATTCATGTTCAATCTTATCCGTTAATTTAAATTTTTTTTAATTTGATGATTAAAAATACAAAACCATGTATCAAAGATCAAAAAAGACGTTTACCATTTCTCAATATTAATGAGAAAAAGGTCCTTGACGATTCCCTAATAGTGTTCGTTTATTTATTTAATGTGGAAAAAGTACCTTGAACTTTGGGAAAGAAATACTTTAGCCTAAAAAGAGGGAGTGTGTGTTTTATATATACATTAGATTAATGGTGGCATATATCAAAATGCATGTGACAATTTCGCTAATACGTTTTCACGATGCAGAGATGTCATAGTGGTAAGCGTCAACCTTAGTAAATATTATAATTGCACGGAAGAAATGTATAGCTTCTTTATCTACCCCCTTAATTCCTTTTTCCGGCTGTGCTTCTTGGATTGTATTGAACCATAGCTATGACTTGAAGCAAGAGGCGGCACTTTGCTTTTACTCTTAAAGTTGCTTCTTTGATTAAGTTAAGCTTCTTCGTTATATAGTTTGTGGTTGGTAAGCCACCTAATACATATCAAGGCATATCTTTCTTTCATATTATTGTTCTTATATGCGTTGAGCTCACTTGTAAATAATCTTTAATTAACTCTCTTTTTTTTTTTTTTTTTTTTTTTTTTTTTTTTTTATGTACCGTCGATTAAAATCCTATTTCTTTTCAATTTTTGATCAAGGTCCTTGGGTATTAAAAACATCATTAATTATTTTCAATAATAAAATATTTTTTCTTTCTAAATATATTCATTTAATGTTAAAAATGTTACAATTAGTATATTTATATTTATGACTATATTTTTTATCATATATGTGACAACCCGTTCCAAATTTTACGTTTTTATTTTATTTTAAAAGCGTGAATTTACGAAAATGCCCTAAAGGTAAAGATTTTGACTTACGTTGACCATCATCTAGAGAGACGTATGACTTATTCTTTTAACATATTCTCGCAGTACTCGTTGGTGTGAACGCATAGGCGAAAGCCGTTTGCGAGTTCGGATTATAACGGTATAGTTATGGACGTTTGAAAATGATTATTTAAAGTTTAGTTATAAATTATTTGAATTCCCACCTTGGGAAAGTGGCCAATCAGATTTTAGGCACAAATAAAAAGGACCAATCAAGTATAAGGTCAAGGAACCAATTAGAATTAGAGGGAGAGGGTGAGACCCAATCAAAAAAGAAGAAGAAAAAAAAAAAAAAAAAAAAAGGGAAAGCTTCCCGTGCACCCGTGCCCAACCTTGTGTGACCACCCATTTTCCAAGGCCGATTCCAGCCAAATCCGATGGAGTTTTTTGACGCCACCACCACCAACTTGAAGCTCTCATTCTCCTTTACAAAACTCACCCAAGAACCACCTTGATTAACCATGGTATATGGCAGTTCGAGGCCACGAAAGTCGACAAAAATCAACAGTGCTCCGCCCACTCTTTTCAAATTTTCGGCAAATCGGCAAAGCGATGGCCGATGCCACCACTTGGGCTTTATAGCCCATCATCCCAGGAGCAAAACCCAACCAACCTTGACCCCGTTGGACCACTGTAGAAGAAGAATTGACACCGGAAAGTTTTAGGCACCCGCCGGCTTTGTGGGCAAAATTGACCATCTTCCGTCCACTTTTGGACTTCGTGGCAGGTATGAAAGTTGCTCCATTCACTGAGATATTCATTTCTGTGAAGTTTGAGAATTTTTGGAAATAGTTGGATTTTCCGGCGAGTCTGGGTGGCCAACCGCCACCCACGGTGGCGCGTGGCCAGTGGGCCGCCAATGCTATTTTTAGGCTATGTCGAATGTCTTGAATTCATTTTTGATATTTGAATGACGTAGGGTGATCATTGGAACCTAAATTCGTTACGATACATTACTTGATAAAAATGTGAATCGACGATTCGACCGTTGGATCGTCACCAAAATTAGATACATTATAATACGTAATATTTAAAGATCATAGGAATTTATGGATCGGGAATCCGACGTACGAATCTTCTCGAATTGGATTTGTAAGTTAGTAAAATAAATGTTCACGGCCACTTGGTTTGGGCAATTGGCGGAGATCCGACCGTTGGATCGTAATAAAATTTTAATATGTTATTCTAGAAGCATATTATGGATCTTTGGGAGTTGTGGATTGGAAATCTGATATGCGGATCTTCCGGGTCGAGTTATACAATGTGTAGACCCTACCGTTGATCTTTGATTGACGGTTGACTTGTGGTCAATGAGTCTCAAACTATTTTAGAATGCCCTTGAGGATGTGTTTTACCTGAATTACGTATTCTATTGATAAGAGTTCTGATATGTGATTCGATAATTGGTCACAGGCGCCAATCATTC